CGAGCTCTGAACAACAGGGCTGCTGGTTCAATTCCCAAATGTGCCAGTAAGGTGCGCCCCCTACAGCTAAGATTGTGAACAACAGCTCAACCTGGAGCTGGGCTGCTGTGAGTCACCTGCTCTGACGCAGGCTGCAGTGAGCTGCCATGAGCAGCCGTGAGCGGCCGTCCAATGGCTGGCGAACGACTGCCTCAGTCGGGAAGAGAGCAATGATCATACCAACATGGGCCAGTGAAGCAGCGTCCTCCACAGCTAGACTGAAGAACAAAAGGACAACAACTTGGCTGTTCCCCTTCTCCAATTCCCCAACACTATTCCCCTCCCCCAATTCCCCAATAAAGTCTTTACAAAAATAAATAAGGCACAATAACTAACAAAAATAATAAAATAGAACAATTATAATATACTGTAATAAAAGTTATGTGGTCTCTTTCTCTTTGATAACTAATCCGATAACGGAGATGGCTAATAAGTGACAAACTGGCAGGTAGCATATACAGCATGGCTACGCTGGACAAAGGGATGGATCACATCCGAGATGGAATGGAGCGGGAAGGCACAAGATTTTATCATGCTACTCAGAACAATGAGCCATTTAATTATAGATCATTTATTTCTGGAATTTTCCATTTAATAATTTTGGACCACGGTTGACTGCAAGTATTTGAAACAACAAAAAGTAAAACCAGGGATAAAGGGGGGCTACTGTACAAGCAGATTACCTCTAAAAAGGACCCAGAGAAACTGGTAATAGCAGCTGCCTCTCAGTGGGGGAAATGAGTGGCTGAGGCACAGTATGGATGGATGCTTTTGATACTTATAACTTTAAAAATTTTGTGGCATGTGCCTATATCACCTATTTTAAAAATTAACAAAGGATTATTTCAACCCTACCTCCACTTCAAATGACAACAACAAATCCTCTTATGATCTGGGTCTCTATGTCTAGCATCTGAAGGCGAAGGGTAGCAGTTTAAACTTCCTTCTACTCTTCATCACTGCTACTCTTTTTTTCCCCATTCAACCAAATCTATATTGCTAGTTGATAAAATACCCTGCTCCACCACTTCCTCACTAGAATGCACTTGCTTAAGCTTCAGTTTTCTGAAGGTCTAAAAGATTAAATAAAATAATATATATAAAGTACCTGCTCTGTGCCTCATTCACAATAGGGGCTCAATTTTTACCACATTAATTTTCTTGGAACTTTTCAAGTTGTCGTTAACTGATTATTTTCTTCAATACTAGAAAGTATATGAATACAATAAAAAATATAGCACATATATACTAACTCTCCTAAACTTCCATTTCTAAGGTCAGACAAGCAGGCGCCATGCTTGGTTTATGGTACAACCACACATGCCTTTGGGACAGGTTAAATAGCAGCTACCCTTTTTGCACAAAGCACAAAGTACTGCACAGCTTTTGTATCCTAGAACTGGCTGATACAATATACTCTGGAGCTGGGTTTTTTTTGTTGTTGTTGTTAGTTAACAGGTAGGTCATCTGATTTTTCTCAATGATAATACTCTTCAAATCACCATACTGAGAAAGAAACTATCTGTGTTGGCAAAAGACATAAATTAGAAAAAAACGCTGATTTATAAATGTCTTCTTTATCAATTAACATTCCCTTCAATGAGCTGTAACAAAATGTTCACATTAACATTCATTATATAATAAACAAATTAAATCCTTAGTTTCGATAATAACCAGGAACAAAAGGCTATAAAATTTGTTTTTTAGGTGTGTAGGGTTTAGATTTATATGCAAGGACGCACACATTCACAATAGCAGTACACTGCTAATGTGAACCTGCTCAATTCATTTTTGTTAAAGAATGTAAACTTAGTTTAATGCTTCTTTTTAGAATGACTAAACGTTATGTAAATTAATCAATGACTTTAAATAAAACAGTTACTTTGCTGCTTGATCCCCTCACATGCAAGCCCCACGCAATCATCTACTTAAAAGGAAAATTTTACCACATAACTCTTCTGCCTACAACCCTTTAGCAGCTTCCCACTGCCCACAGATTAGCACTCAGCTCCTTTATGTGATAAATTCCCATCTCTGCCAGCACCCTTCCTTACTCGCTATGTTGTTTCTGGCCCCAGAGTCTTTGTTCATGCTGTTATTTCTCTCTGAACCGCCTTTCTCCCAAACATTCTTAATAACTTTTATTTATCTTTTTTAATACCCACGTAGTTTTCACTTCTTCCAGGAGGATTTCTTAGACACCTATTTCCCCACCCCCACAACATATTTGTATATTCCATCCTGCAGTGATATATCTGTTTATGTATCTGCCTCTCCCACTATGAGAGACTTTAAGAGAGGAACATTTTATCCAATCTATCAGTAAACCTGTTTGCTGAACCTTCAAATATAATCTCAATCCAAAAACTCGTTACTGTTTCTCCTGATGTCTTCCAGATCCAAGCCTCTATGAGTTTCTTCCCAGCTTACAACTGTAGCGGTTCTACTTGCTCTCCCTGGTTCTACCTTCGCTTCTATAGGCAACATAGTAGCCAAGGTGACCCTTTTAAAATTTAAGTCTGATTATGTCATTCCTTTCCTAAAAATCTGTATAACTGCTTCCCATTTCACAGGTGGTAAAAGCTCGTATCTTCACAGTGGCCTATAAGGCCGTGAGTGTTTTAACAATCCCCACTCCTATTAGTTCTCTGACCTCATCTCTACTATACTCTCCTTGTTGGGGCATACTGGCCTCTTCGCGGCTTCTCAAACATACCAGGTGTGTTTTCTTAAGGCTTTGAATTGTGGCTCTTAACATCTTTCTGGACTCAGATACCTGCATGGCTAACTCATGTTAACTTATCAAAGACGCGTAACTTGACCATCCTATTTAAAACTAAAAACCAAACCACCTCTCATCTACCCCTAAACCCCCTTACTATGTTTTACTTTTTCTTTTTTCCATATATTTATCATATTTGAACATACTGTATAATTTATTTATTTTTATGTTTATTGCCTACTGTCAATCTTCACCTGCTGGGAGACACTCATAAACTCTATGAAGGAGGGATCCTTGTCTATATCCTAAGCACCTAAAACATGGTAATCACCCAATAAATATTTGCTGAGTAGAATACTGAATGAAGCTAAGTTAAAGAAAAAAAAGGGTAACCCCCAGGTATACCAAGATGCTGATGCCGAAATTATCTTTTTATCTAGAGCATATTTTATGGTAAATTGAAGCTACATTAGTCCCTCCTTCCCCAGTTTCACTTTCCAGTTTCAGTTACCCAGGGTCAACTGAGGGATGAAAATATTAAATGGAAAATTCCAGAAATAAACAATTCCTAAGTTTTCAATTACACACTAAATAGCATGATGGAATCTCGCACCGACCCACTCCATCCTGATCAGGTCATGAATCATGCTTTTGTCCAGCGTATCCATGCTATATACGCTACCCACCCCTTAGTCACTAAGTAGCCGTCTTGGTTATCAGATTGACTATCATGGTATCACAGTGCTGCTGTTCAAGTAGCCCTTATTTTACTTAATAATAATGGCCCCAAACTGCAAGAGTAGTGATGCTGGCAATTCAGATATGCCAGAGAAAAGCCATAAAGTGCTCCCTTTAAGTGAAAAGGTGAGTACAGTACAATAAGATAGTTTGAGAGAGGCCACATTCATATAACTTTTATTACAGTATATTGTTATAATTTTTCTATTTTATTATTATTTACTATTAGTTACTATAATAGTTACTATTGTTACTTTCTTACTGTGCCTAATTTATAAATTAAACTTTATCATAGGTATGTATGTATAGGAAAAATTACAGTAATATATAAGGTTTGGTACTATCTGCGGTTTCAGGTATCCACTGGGGATGGGTGCAATCCATTTAGAACGCATCCCCTGAAGATAAGGGGGAACTACTATGTATGACATATATGATCTTTTAACAAATTTATCAGCGAGACTGTATCCCCTCAAAACAGTCTGTATGGACAACTCCCAGTATCATTCTTCATTCTAATTAGATACCGATTGGGCATCCCACCTCTGAAAAACTCCATTTCTTAACGAGTACATAATACACAAATATGCTCTACTATGCACTTGTACACAGCTTTTTTACTGTCGTTGGTATATATAATCCCAGACTATTTGAGCTCTCAGAAGACAGGAATATGTTGATGCATTCTATTCCACTCCCTGTTTTTGAAAGTAACATCTTTCACAAATGGGTACATAGCACTTTTGAACATGTTGAGAGACAACAACATCCAAAATATTAATTATTTTGCTATCTAGCTTTTATATCAATCAAAGCTCTACGAGTGTATCTAACCGTCAATTACAGAGAAGACAGAATAATATACTAAAAGATACCATGGAGACGCATGCAGCAAGTCAGGAAACAGTATGTGGCAAAGATCTGTTTCATTAACAAACAAACTCCAAGAAAAGAAAAACAGATGGATTTGTGTACTAAGAGACATGTTGTATGGATCTTCTTTAGATCCTATTTCAAACAATTAAATTATAAAAAAAAAAGTTATGAAGTTATGACAAACGGCTGGATATTATAATACATAGACTATAGACTATATACAAATTATACGTGGATACTGACCATTTTTTTGGCCACCATATTTAATATTTTTTAAAATTACTGGTTAATTTTTAGGTGTGATAATAGTATTTTAACGATTTTTAGAGCATCTTTATCTTTTAGAAATACTTCTAAATGATATAAAAATGTCATAATTTGTTTCAAAATAATATGAAGTGGGAGAAAGTGAGCAGAGACATAAACTGGAGTTGGCAAACTTTTTCTGGAAAGAGCCAGGTAGTAAATATTTAAATATTTTTAAAAGCTACGTATTAAAAGGCTTTAAGAGCTGTATGATCTATCAACTATTCAACTCTGTCACAGTGCATGTAAGCAGCCAGACAATATATAAAGAAATGAGAGTAGCTGTGTGCCAATTTATAGAAATGGGCAGTGAACTGGGGTTAGGCTGTAGTTTTCAAACCCTTGGTATAAATATATCAAGGACTGACCATGAGTTGATAATTATTAAAGCTGAGTATTGTATAATTATCATTATACCCTATTTTCTATATGTTAGAAATTTTCTGTAAGTTAAGAAAAAAAAGCCTGGATCACATTTTCAAGATCATTGGTCTATTTCCATCTGCATTTAAAGTATCATGGAGTGCACATTTCAGATACATCTCATTCCAATTATACAATTCATTAATTGATACCTAGAAGTTGTAAACGGTCCTTGGCCATAACCAAATTAGTCATCATTTTAGCTTGAAGGCGTCTAGCTCTTTCACACTGTTCCCCTGAAAGAATAGAGGAAAAAAAAATTAAAATATCTATGTTTCCCTACTAATATTGCTTCAAGATAAACCATCATCCCAACTAATCTCATGGGGAGTCACAGTCTTTATAAAGAAATTAAGAAAATATTATATTCAAATAATAACTTAAAATCGGTTACAGTTCTTTATGTTGGCTTCATATCTACTGTAGTTATTTCATTGATTTCATGTGTATTTCACGGATTTTGAGACATATTTTTTCCCTACACTTTCAAATCTTTGAAATCAGGATGTATTTTACAACCACTGCCAACTTACTAACACTATCAGCCAAACTGCAATCATAACACAGTTTGTCACTGCCTGTGCATGTGCAACTTTGGTCATAGGTATGATATTAACACTGCTGTTATAGCTATGTGTAAATAAGATCAGGACAGCATATTTAATAAGGTTTAAAGTTCAAATTCTAAATGATAAGAAGACTATGTGTCATAGTTTAATTGACATTGTTTTTTTTCTCATAGTGGTAGAACTAAAGGCATTTTTGATCCAGTAATACACTATTCTTCCTATAACCAATTCATTTTCTTTGTACTCTTCTTCTATTAAATTGACAAAGAACGGCAAATATATTTTGTACATAATTCATAAAGTCATAATCATAAACTCATGAAAGTCTCCAATGCTTAACCTCCATATTTACTTGTTCTATTCTGCTCTTTTATGCAGAAGACCAGTAGCTAGAGAAGTAGTCTGAATAAAACATGGCAAATATTGGACACAATGTATTGTAATTACTGGAGATTAGCGGTTGTATATAAGTAGTAGAGTCAGCCAGCCAGACAACAGGCATCCACTGGGTGGATTGATCCACAAGGCAAAGATTCCTAGCCTACATATTATAATTTTAGCTTCTGATTTTACTTTAGCTACAGTAAACCGAAATTCTCTACTAGTGGTATCTACGTACTACACAACAGTCACAGCATAGTATTTAAGAATTCAGGCTCTGAAGTCAGACTACTTGGGTTCAAATCCTGACTTTATCACTTGCTGGCTATGTGGCCGAAGGCAAGTTACTGAATTTCTTTGTATGTAAGGTTATTCATCTGAAAAATATTGGTAACAGCAACAGCCTCAGCATGTGGGGTTGTAGTGAAAATAAACAGATAATACATATAAAGCATGTACAATGATGCTTGGGCATATAGTTAAGTGTATAATAAGTGTTTTCTATAGATTTAAAGATAACATTAGACTTTAATTTTTTATTTCAGGTAATAGTAAAGATGAGAAATATCTGCTTTGGTTTTAAAAAGTCAAGTGTGAATCAAACTAAGACATTTACAGCTCATATTCTAACATGCAATCAAGCATTACCCATAAGTGCAAAGGGGAGTCTGTGGATTAACCACTTCTTCCTTGCCTCAACAATGAGGAAAAACAACAGGTTTGAAAAATATGGCTGAAAATGGGCTAAACCATCACCAACAGTGGGTCCAAGAAGGACACAAATAATATACTGGTTTCTGCCTGACTGCTATAGGTAATCAAGTTTGAGCATGTCTGGTTATGACTTCATTTTTAGCATAGGTAATAAAGCATTAATTGTAAGTCTACAAACATTAACCACAATATTTAAATATCTGTTACATACATTTAAGATAAATGGATCAGAAATCAGGGCAATCATGTGAATATAATTTGGGATGGCTACTAAACAAATGTAAAACACAACCTTACCTTGTCCTGTAACTATGACAGCTATTCCTTTTTCTAGTTCTTCAATACCCTTCTTATACCATTCCACAGCTTGATCCTTTTGTCCTGCTTTAAAATAGAAATAATTATTTGTTCATATCACAAATATAAAGAATACACTACACATTTTCCAAAGCATACTGTTATTATTAGGTGATAACATGAAAAAGACAGTTGTGATCAAATAAGTCTGAGAAATATTATATGATTTCTTAGGATTTTCAGCATCTTAATGTATACATGAATCTTCAAAAGAGGGATATAGACTTCAATGTTTCTTAAAATTTTAAGGCTGTGATTAAAAAAAATTTTATTTAAATAATTTATCATCTATGGTATTGATATGTATAACCATTTTGAACACTATACTAGGGAAAGAAATTTTATTTAGGGAGAATTTATTTTAAATAAATGGTTTTAAAAATATAAACATGAATTCAATAATAGTGAGAAAAACTGTTTAAATGTATTCAAATTTGATGTATTCAAATTTGATGTAATATGTTTATTGTTGGGTGCCTCATTTCTATAGTTTTTATTTAACAAATGACTGCATCATGAGAATTGGTACATGAGATTACAAGTGTGGCATTTAGTAACACATTTCTATTTTCTTTGAAACAAATGACTGGTTTATAACATTAATTCTTAATCCAAGTTAAGTTTAGAAAGGATCTAAAAATTCAGCATATCAACATGTGTGTAGGATATTTCTGTAAAGTGATAACAATTATATGCAAATCTCATTGTTTTTGAAAATTAATTTCTTAGTCCTTAGAATCTGCAAAGCCTCTAAGTGGCTAATACAGAGACATAGTCAAGATATGATAAGAACCATCTATTAGAACTGTGTGTATCATTTTCCCGCAACTCATGTCCCTATTTAATCAAACAAAAATTCCCATGTCCTTCATTATTTGAAATTTCAAAACCAATACAATATCATGACTCTCTTGATAACATAGAATAAAGTCTTATTATAAATACCACACACAACTAAGAAATGCTGTCTCTTATGAATGGGTACTACCTTCCTCTCTACCCTTCCTTCATCCTAAAAATAAATCACTAACTAGACTCAGCCCTGGGACAGTAATTTTGTATGTATTACAGCATCATTAGTATTTCACACAGTGTTTGGTCCAGAATAAGTGCTCAATAAGTACTTGATAATAACACATGAAAAAATTATTAAGAATTTCTTGTAAATCAACTCAAAATTATTTGGATGCTTACGTGCTTATTCGTTATAAGAAAACATCTGTTTACGTGTACTTTTTTTAATTTGAAAGAAAGGGAGAAATTACAGAAAGTAGTAAAATATGCATTTGCATTCTAGTGGTCTAGTGGTGGGGATATTGCTAATAATGCCACCTTTGCTTAAAATTTTTTTAAATAAAGTACAATCTAACAGATAAAACAGGAGTTCCTTTATTTGAGCCTCTTCCCACTTCAATGTTCCTTCCCTTTCCAAAAACCACTATTATGAATTCAGTGTATCTTTCTGGCACATCTTTTTCTGTTGTTCCTATTTTATTTGTATTGTTTTATTTAAATTTTACATTGCTTTTGAGATTTGTGTTGCTGTACAGAGATCTAGTATCTAGTTCATTCATTTTGACTTCTGTATAGTATCCTATATCATCCTATGATTTATTCAACAACTTAAATAAAAGATATTTAGGTTGTTTCCAGTTTTTCAGTATTTCAAATAATGCTATAATAAACGTTCTTGTACCTGTCCCCTTATGTAATGTACCAGTTTATCTGGGGTATATGCTTAAGAAGTAGAGTTGATGAGTCACAGTCCACCACATAGTCTCCATTCACCAGAAACCTACAAACTGCTCTTTGAGAGTGCCTGTGCACTGTACCAATTCACATTCCTAACAACAGTGTATGACAGTTCTCGGCAACATCTAAACAAAATGTTTTTAGGAGTTTAGTACGTTACTGTAGGGAGATGAAATGACTGATTACAAATATATTCACGGCTCAATAATTACTCAATTACCTAATATTCTTTGGTAACAGGTAGTTGATTTACTGCCTTATTTGAATCTCACAAGTCAGCATGATACAAAATGCATAGGTATTTCTTACCGAACAGTAAAAGGCTAGTGGAGAAAGGACAGACATATAGGCCAATGGAACAGAAGAGAAAGTTCAGAGCTAGACCTACATGTATATCATTGACTGATTTTCACAAAGATGACTACGTCATTCAGTGGAGAAAGAACAGTCTTTTCAAAAAACGATGCTGGAATAATGGACATCCATATGCAAAAACCTTCACACGATATACAAAAATCAGACTGAAATGGATCACAGACCTAATTGCAAAGCCTAAAACCATAAAATTTATAGAATACACATAGAAAAATCCTTTGTAATGTCGGCTTAGGTAGAGATTTGTGAGAACATAAAAATTCATAAACATTAAGAGAAAAAACTGATAAACTAGACTTCATTAAAATTAAAAGCTCCTATTCTTCAAAACACAGTTAAGACAATGAGAAACCACAGATCTACTGGGAGAAAATATTTGCAAAACAACATGTCAACTAAAGGACTTATAACCAGAATATATAAAGGACTCTTACAATACAATGATAAAAAAAACAACTCATTAAAAAATAGTGGTCAAGGGCCGGCCGAGTGGCGCGATGGTTAAGAACTGGCTTGGGATGCTAGAGAGCCCCGGTTCGGATCCCACATGTGAGGGCCAGTGACACTGCCCTCTACAGCTAAGATACTGAACAACAGCTCAACCTGGAGCTGGGCTGCTGTGAGTCGCTGGCGACGGCGTAGGCTGCAGCCCCTGTGGCAGTGGGTTGTCATGGGCTGCCGTGTGTAGCCAGCAGCCAGCGTGAGCGGCCAGCAGCCGCTGTGAGCGGCCGTCCAGAAGCCGGCGACTGATCTGCCTCGCCCGGAAAGAGTGCAATGATGGTGCCGACTTGGGCCAGTGAAGCAACGTCCTCCACAACTAGACTGAAGAACAAAAGGACAGCAACTTGTCTGTTCCCCTTCCCCCAATTCCCCAATAAAAATCTTAAAAAAACAACAACCAAAAACCACATTAAAAAAAAAATAGTGGTCAAAAGATTGAAACATTCACTTTACCAAAGAAGAGACATAAATGACAAATAAACACAAGAAAAGATGCTGAACATCCTTAGTCGTTAGCAGACTACAAATTAATACTACAAGATTATGTACCATTATGTACCTAATTTAGAATGGAAAAGAAATGACAAGGTAAAGCATAAACGGACTTCTCTCATATGTTTGTAGGTATAAACACAAAATGGTGCTGCCACTTTGGAAAAGAGTTTGGTAGTTTCTTATGACATTAACAGATATTCACAACATGACCCAGCAATCCATTCTTCCACGTATTTACCCAAAGAAATGAAAAGATTAAAGACCTGTACATGAATTTTTAAAGCAGTTTTATTCATAAGAGCTAAAAACTAGAAACAATTCAGATGTCCATCATTTAGTGAATGGGTTAATAAACTGTGGTACATCCATACATAGAACACTACTCAGTAATAAACAGGAACAAACAAACTACTGATACATGTAGGAACATGGATGAACCTCAAAAACATGCTAAGTAAAAGAAGCTAGACACAAAAGGCTACATACTATATGATTCCATTATTGATTGTGGTAATGATTACCCAACTTTTTGGCAAAATTCACTGAATTGTATGCCCCTAAAACAGGGTAAATTTTACTATCTGTGATTTACCCTGATTTTTAAAAAGTGTAATATTCCAATATTTATGTATATGGATATTTGCTGTGGCTTGGATTATACCAGAACTTAAATTTTGATTATAAGAGTAGGATTAGATTAGAAAAGCTAAAATAGAAAAATATTTTTTAAAATATTTGTTTCAAGGATTGGAGTTTTCAAAACAGTGAAAATTACCAAAATGTGGAAAGGAGAAAAGCCAACGGAAGTAAGCCTGGCATTTGGGGCACTTTTCTGCTTGAAGCAATTGCCAGTTCTGAAAGCAAAAGTGATCAAGAAACTAAGCAGAGCTTTCGCCAGGCTCATGGTGCTAAGTTAACAAAAAATGGTTCCTGCCCAGGAGAAGTAAGTGGTGGCAAAGATCCCAGGATTTCAGTTGGGACCCTGCATCATTGAAGAGTTCTGAACTAGGTCAGCCAGCACAAGGGCTGAAACTCATGCTCAAATCACTTTAATCCCTTAAGGTAGGGGAAAATACAGCCCATAACACACTGATCACCCTTCTGACTACATTATAGCTGGGAAAAAAAATCAAACCTTCCAACAGTCTCTAGCACAGAAAAGGCCTTCAAGATGCTTTAAGAGTTCCTAGTATCCCTTACACATATCCCTCTTACCCCTATGACTCCAAATAACACTCAAATTCTACTAACCAGACTACACCAAATCAAGAGAAGTTGGGGTGGCAGAAACTTACAATCATTCGTTGTATTGAAATCATTAGCCAATAATTTGAACTACAAATAAACTACATAATATAGGGCAAACAATGGCCCAAGGGTCAAATACAGTCAGTTGCCTGTTTTTGTACGTACAGCTTTACTGGATCACACTCACTATATGCGAGTATTATGTAGTTGTGACAGCGAGCTTAAAAATTTACTAAATGGCCCAACAAAAAATCAAACCCAATGGAAAAATGGGCAAAGAACTTGAACAGACATTTTTCCAAAGAAGATATGCAAATGACCAATAAACACACAAAAAGATGCTCAACATAAGTCATTAGAGAAATGCAAATCAAAACAATGATGAGATACCTCTTCACATTAGGGTAGCTATATTATTTTTTTTTAAAAACCTTATAACTAACAAATGTGTGGAAAAATTAGAAACCCTTGTGCACTGGTGGTGGGAATCTAAAAATGGTACAGCTTCTAGGGAAAATAATTTGGCAGTCCCTCAAAAAATTAAACTTAGAATTACCATATGATCCAGCAATTCAACTCCCAGATAGGTATTCAAAAATATTGAAAGCAGGGACTTAAACAGCTACTTGTACATCAATGTTCATAGCAGCATTATT